CACTAAACAATGCAGCTGGTCATGAAATATAGTAAATAAATTTCTATTAATAATTTATTTATATGGGCTTATGACTCAATAGTTCCTATGGCCCCATATGACCCCTCATGAAGTACTGACGCACAAGTCGCAATGTATCCACCCGTAAGAACTACGTCTTCTACTGACAAAGTCACCAGTTACTTCTGAATTATAAGGTGACAATAAAATGGCTATAGGAAAAAAGCAAGAAAGGTTGTTCAACCATAAAGAAACTGAAAAATGCAATTCAGTACTGGAGTCGTATTGTTCCACATATTCTTTTAAACATACAAAAATTGGCTTTGTTTATTTTACATTTTTCACAAAATCAATCTGTAGGGGAAAACCACAAGACATAAATAGAATATTTGGATTATTCCACAAAATTGATTCCATGATAGAAGGACAATATTATTTGATCCCAAAAATAATAAATTTCGTTGCCCATTAAAGTCAAATATGTGAATTTATGTTGCAAGTGAATTTGAAATTTCAAATTGTTTTTTTAGAACAGTGTTGGCTTGTTTGTTCGAGATACCATAGTATTTTGTTGTTGCAAAATGGTCAGGCTTTATCCCTTTATTGTTGTTTTTATAAAAACGACGTTTGTTTATTAGTGGAGAACGATTGAGCTTACGATCTCGTCACTTGGGTAAAAAAATGTTTTTTTTTTTTTTGTCATAGAAGTTATTTTTAAAATAACTCCTGGGGAGAATATCCCAGACAAAAAACAAGGGAGGATTGGTGGCTCTTTCCGAAACCTAGGTATTCCCTGCCTTACCCCCTGGTAAACATTACTATCGTTCTCCACTAATAAACAAACGTTGTTTTTATAATAAAGGGATTAAGCCTGACCATTTTGCAACAACAAAATACTATGGTATCCCGAACAAACAAGCCAACACTGTTCTATTAATAGACATAGCACGGTCGGTCGACGAAGGGGTTTTTGTTGTAACAGACAAAACCAACTTACATGGTTCAGGTAGAACGAAAGCATAACAAGTGGAGAAAGATGTAAATGTTTATAATTGGGGTTGTAAGATTTAGAGATTTTTGAAAAGAATTTTAGTTTTATTTAATTCTTTGGTTTCTCTTCTATTGAGCTACGATCACGTCACTTGGGAAAAAAATGTTTTTTTTTTGTCATAGAAGATATTTTTAGGAATTGGTGGCTCTTGAGGATTGGTGGCTCTTTCCAAGACCTAGTTATTCCCTGCCTTACCCCTGGTAAACATTAAACATCGTTCTTCACTAATAAACAAACGTTGGTTTTATTTTTTTTATAAAGAGAAAAAAAAAAAACAAACACCCACACAATCACATGGAAATTTATTATTGTAAGTGATGCAAAAAATTAATAAACCAACTTCATTTCAAAAAGGTTCAATTTTAGACATTTGAATTATTAAATTAGGAATAATGAATGAAAATTCTTAAAATATTTTATTCTAATTAATTCAGGTTATTCCTGTGAATTTGTAGTTGTAACCATGGTACAATGAATTCAAGGTAGGGCAGAACTACCATATGATTTCAATTTTTTTATTTTTCTGGCTTAATATGTCAACTTCATTTGCTTATGTGTGTGTCTTCTTTTCAATAATAAAAAATTGTTCAGAAAATATTCAAATTCGGGTGTTTTCAAAATGCTTATTGCAACGAATGCATCGACAAAATCTACAGTTTTTGTCGCGAAATAAACCATAAGAGATATATAGAACATGATATTGAAAATAATTTTTGACCATTCATTCAGTTTCCGCGGTTTTAAATTATTTATTCAAAATCAATGCAACAAGTTGTTTGCTTTTTTATTGTTTTGATAGTAATTCTGACATTACAAGCCAACAGGTAGACCTCTATACTTGCAATTTTTTCAAAGTTGACCTACCTTCTCTTCATTGTACCATGGTTGTAACCAGTGGGTTCAAACCTGCAAAATAGAGTTGTCACATGGCAAGTTAAAAAATGAATAATGCATGCATTTTAAACATTATTTTGGGATTAGCAATCTTCAAGCGATACAGAAATAATTTCTGAGGTAGTTTCAAAAATGTTTATTACTCGATTTCAATTAGGGAAAATAGGAAATTAAATCATAATGCGTCATGTCATGTCAATGATATCTATTAGCTTAGCTCCCGCTTGACTACCTCCGTCGGTCATTGAAAACTTCAACATCTAGGTGTTGTATAGCAAAATCGTGAGTAGCTTTCGTATACTTACTTCCAATTGAACTTGAGAACCTACGCATAGAACCTTCCCAAACAAATACCGAATATGGGCAGTAACGCTCATAACAATGTTGTGAATTCGACTTTATCGCCATGGCGTGGAAATGGTGTCAGGGAATTTGCAGTTTGTTTCCAAATACCCAGCTAGCCATAGGCGAACAAACACAATCCTACTAACACACATGTATTCAATGCCGCCACTTAATTCGCTTGTACACTGAACGTGTTGCCAGTGCCCCTTTCGCACAAACCCGCAAATCGCGTGCTGTTGCTCGACAATGTGTGGAAAGTAGCATCAATTCTTGCTGGATTCTAAACGCCACAACGATAATCAGGGTGTATGCATTTAAAGACCTGAATTGTGGAGTCATTTACATGATTATTTTCAAGTTATGTACTCACTTTATACTGAATGCCGAAAGTGGCCGGACATCGCTACTTCCCATAGAAGAGCATTAGAAACGCACTTGTTGATATACCCTAGATAAAAAAACGTTTTCTGCTCTTACTCTTGAGAATTGTGCGGTGCAGAGAGTGTGAGCAATTGTATGGTAGAAGGTGGGTATGTCGAATTGTACACCTTGTTTTGCTAGTTCACCATTGCACTATGGGTTTTTTTACGTTTATTTTGGCATAAACTCTAATTTTAAAGCTATTGAATTGAAATTTGGTTTGTATTCATTTTTTATGCTCCCAAGATGACCTACCAATTTTCCAATGCTTTGGGGCACTATTTCATATAGCTGCTATATAGCCGATTTGCCTCAACTATTTTGTTTATGAAGCTATTGAAGTGAAATTTGGTTTGTATTAATTTTTTATGCTCCCAAGATGACCTACCAATTTTCATATGATTTGGGGCACTATTTCATATAGCTGCTATATAGCCGATCTGGCCGATTTGACCCAACTTTTTTGTTTATAAAGCTATTGAAGTGAAGTGGGGAAACATACTGCTCATCCATTACTATAATTATACTTTTGCTAAGCCATTTTGAATGTTTAGTTTTTAAAATCGCTCTAATTTACGGTTGCACTTTGCATGCATGGGCAAACACATGTTTATCTGCAAAACACGTGTTGGCACAAAATAGAACAAAAAAGGCTAGTTACTCATTAATTAACACACTTTTGTTAATAATTTGGCATTTATACCTTTTTGCAATGCTTTGTCATTCACAAGTTACACTCCACGGAACACAACTACAATTTATAGATTTTATATAAAGTTATACATTAATAAAACTTTTCACAGTATTACAACAACAGACAATTATGAGAAAAAGGGCATCTCGTCTTAATTTAACATACCTGCACTAACATTTTCTATAATTACACATTTTAATTTTTTTCAATTTTGTTAAATCACAAGCACTTGAACTTAGCTGATTTTTACCGCCAGTTGTAGCAAAATAAAGTGACTTTCAAACAACTGACTTTAAAAGCTCGTCAGCAAAAAAGGGTTGTCACCCGCATTGATATTAAATATATTTTTTTCTAATATGGGTATCTACATTTAGAAAATCAGTTAAATTTCAAAATATGAAAACAAAAATAAATGACTTTATGCCAAAAAATCATAATTTTTACCCACAGTGCATTGTACAATTTTATTGGTGTTATTTCAACTTTGACATTCGATTTGTCTTTTGAACAATTTAGAGTACTCCAATTTTACTTTTACATCTGTTTATTTTTCGCAGTAGGCAGGTCCGTTTTTATATAGAACGGAATCTTCCCGAATTCTCAACAATTATATTCTCAAAGTTTTTAATCGCCATCCAACCATCATCTAGAAAAGAATGGTAGGTATGGGTTCACGTTTTGTCAAATTTCCCATATAAATGTTTCTTCTTACCGCAGTTTTTACGCAACTAACTACAATTTTGTTTTCAAGTTCTTAATGTACACATTTCTTAATGTAGCTATACATTGTTATCGCCACAGGAATGGTGTCTTCCCTAAAATGATGGTCAAAATTGGTCCAATGATTTTTGTTTCTTAGGTGGGGGTTCTATCTTTGGAAAAAAGTTAAAATATAGGTCCACATGTCTGTGCATAACTTTACCGTCTGATATTCAGTATTTTTAATTTTCCAAATTAAATGGAAATGCTCAGATGCAGTTTTAGAGCTGTACTGCTATTTCCAAACATTTTCTTTGTCTTTCTGTGCGTGGCGCATTAAAAGTTTAGCCAGGCCGAACATTTTTATTTCATATGGTTAGGTTTTTTTAAAAGCTTTAATCTTCGACGCCGTGTATGTGATATATCCAAATGAAATGTGATATATCCAAATGTAATTAAGATAAATGCTGTCTTGCTACGAGTACCCACTAACTTGTAGTTGCACAATATGTGACAGGACATTGGCATTAGATAAATTATGTTTTAAAAAAATTATTTCAATACAAAATGCATATCAATGGAAAGCTTATGTGCTAGTGCTATCCATTGTTCTGAGGTATTTGGCCATTTCTGGACAAATATGGTTTTTATCTTAATGGGCCTAAGGTTCCTCCTGATTTCAACTATTTCGAACACATTTCCGAATAATTTTAAAAATACAGGATCATTTGAACATAGATATATATATTTTGGTTCAGATTTGTGAATTATTGTGCTTTAAAAAGTAATCATTAAAAACTAAAAGCACGGGTCGGCAACGCGGACCGGACCATCTAGTTTTAAAACAAAAATAATCTTTGTTATAAAATTATTAACTATATCTTAATTTAATTACAGACACAACATAATAATTTATTAACAAGGATAACCGGACAAAGGTACTCGCAACCTCAACTGTAATAGGAAAATATTAACCCTTCAGTGAAATTTCACCAATAATTGGCACTAAATTCGAATACTCTCAAAATGGTGGACTACTATAAAGTGTTGGACGTACCGCGTTCAGCGACAGATACTGAAATCAAAAAAGCGTAAGTATCGTTTTTTTCTGAACGGCATTCGTTTTATTCAAAAAATTTTATTGTTATGTCCTTTTTTAAAAACAGTTACAGAAAATTGGCGCTAAAATGGCATCCCGATAAAAATCCTGACAATTTAGATGAAGCAAACAAACGTTTTCGTGAGTTATCAGAAGCCTACGAAGTCCTATCAGACGGTAAGTTCAATATTCTATCGATTAGAAAATACAAAATAGAAATATATTCTACAACCGTTTACTATTTTTGAGAATTATAAACGAAACTTTTACTGATTTTCTTTTATTATTTCTTCATCATTTTATTTCTTCGTTGCTGATGTGTGTTGCAAGTGTAGAACGTAAACGAAAAATATACGATAATCGCTCGACGCTGCACAAGAGCAGTTACAGCAGCAATTCGTCTTCATATACTTCAAATGGTAGCTATGGTGGTTCAAACGGTTATCGTTACCGCACCACAAGCGCCAAAGACTACGACGATTACATACCCAGTTATGGTTCGTCAAAGCGTGGCAATCGCTATCAATTTTTCACCTTTAGAAATCTGTTTGAGTCTACACCATTCCACAAGTTGTTCGGTAAAGAAGCTAAATGTCGTGTTGTTGCTATCGTGAAAAGCATCGAATGTTTTATTGAATTTTAATTTATCGTTCCTACTAAACCGCATTCAACAAGATTGCATAAAAATGGCCATGGCCAATATGGCCACAAAAGAAGTATCAGCCCTTCGTTGCAGTGCCTTCTGACGTGCACATTAGTTTGAAATTTAATGACATTGTCTAATGTTCAGTCGCATTAGTATCGTGCAAAGTATACAACTAAATAAATAGTACCTAAAAATAAATAATTAAACATCTTTTTTAAAAAGTATAATACAAAAACGCTTGTTATTCGCATGAATGCAGACAAACCCAAGTTTCATTTGCTAAGAGTAATTTTCACACTTACTTGTTTTTACACTTATTGTACGAAATATGTCAATATTCATAATTCTATTCGTCTTTTTTAAAGACAATTATCATTTGTGATTACTACTTTCTAAAACTTAGCATTTGAAAAACATATGTCAAATATTTCTCTTTCAATTAAAGTTAAAATAACTCAACAATATGGGGGCCTGCTCATTCATTTATTCATTACTCGTGTTTTCAAACCACTGTGCACCGTTGCTTGTTTTCCGGCATACCTATAATCTCCTGCTCTTGTTTAATTTAGTTTCGTGTAGAGTTGAATTGTTGTTCCTATTGCTGCTATTGTTAATAGTGCATATTCGTATTCGTTATTTGAATCTAACATAAACAAACACTGCTACAGAGCTACGCAAACCGCTCCATAGCCATTACCAAATGTCGATCATATAAGTCAATATCATGATTTTCCACAAACCATTTTTCGCATCCTTATGTTTTCTGTGTATACAAATATTCTACTAAATCAGCTGCAATACTAACTATGTACGCCCAACATAATGCTCTAGACACTAAATACAATGTTGCTCCACCAAGGGTCGAATTTTTTAAGAAAATAAAATAAATTTTTGTCAAAATAATATGCCAAATTAGTCCCAATTAACAAAAAAGTTTGCTAGAAATAATTTTGAGACCCCAATCTGGGCAAAAAGCGTTACAATTGAAATGTTCCAACTGTAAAATTAATATCACAAATCTGTCGATAGATTATCGAAAAATACGTTTCTTATTTTGCTAGAAAATAACCTTTGTTCTGTTTTTTATTCGTTTTTTTTTTTTGTTTCCTACTAAAAATTAATGATATCTTGAAAGTTCTCTAATTTTTATTTTTATTTCCCTAATGTTTTAGAGAAGAAACGTCGCGTATACGATCAATATGGTAAAGAGGGTTTATTGAGTGACCGAGGACATAATCGTTCATCCAGATATAATGCACATGAATTTGATGAATTCGATATCAGGAGTGGTTTTCCATTTGTATTCCGGCCGCCTGAAGAAGTTTTCCGAGAGTTTTTCGGGGGGCATTCGCCATTTGCTGATTTATTTGGTGGTAAGGATATTGTTTGGAACTAGGCGAAGAGCTTATAATAACAATGATGTTTTTAGATGTTCACAGTTATCAGCAGCCGGGTAGTCGGCGTTCAAATGGTACCTCAGGTGGCAGCAGTCGTTCACACTATCATGGAGGCAACTCAAAAATCTCCACCTTTTCCGCTTCACCCATGCTCAATTATTCAATGATGGATTTGCTAATGCCCTCCAATGGATTTACCTCTTTCTCCAGCTTTAACAGTATGTCCGGAGGTCGCTCAAGTGGTACTGGCTCAAACGGCGCCATTAAGCGAACGTCGACATCAACTACGTTTGTCAATGGCAAAAAATTAATGACAAAACGGTGAGTATTTGGATAAATCGTATAATTTTAACAGAAATACTCAACGCTAACCATTTTGCATTTCTTTTAGGGTATATGAAAATGGAAAGGAAACCGTGTTTTCATATGAGAATGATGTCCTGAAATCAAAGACTGTGAATGGAGTTCCGCAAAAACTCTCTTCAATTACACACTAAATGCCACACACGCCGCAAAAGCAACAAAAAAGTCATTTTTCATAGAACGAATAAAAGATCAACTGACTCTCTGCTCATACTCCTCAACTCTTTATTTCAGCAAAAGGAATCATCGTCAAAGTATCGTTGATCACACGCAACAAAACACAAACTTCCTCAAAAGCACACAAAATTTTTGTTACATTTTTTTTTTTCATTTTTTATGATTTACTTACGGTATTTTGATTTATGTATTTTTTCTTAAATAAATTAATAATTATTTAGTATTTAGTTAAAATTACATTCGAACTCCAGTAGAGAATACCCTCTCCTCAAATGGTGGTTGGTTTGCTAACAAAGAAAGCACAGCTGTCCGTCGTCGGGGGTTCTCAACTGCCAAGGCAGTTCGAAAACGAAAGGCAAAAATGAGCGGAACAAAATAAATCTCTCCCTTAATAACCGATGTAAATTATCTGTAAAACTGAATTTATGTTTTGATTCTGTTCTGTTTTCCTTTCGACCGTTTTCATAAGTTTAGTTTATAAATGCAAATTTAAGATGTTCTCTAGTTTAATTATAATTTTTTGCTTAAATAATAATGAAAATATAAAACAATGATTAAAATAGCATTACAACAATAAAAAAAACCTTAAAAACTCCAATAATCAAATGCAAGGAAAAATTAATGTCAATGCCAATGTTTTAAAGAAAACAACCAAGAAAAACTCAAATTAATACGAAAAAGAAAAGAAAATTAAACAAAAAAATAAATTAAAGATACTTACAATGCGAATAGCATAAATTGTCTACTTAGTTTTATTCAGTTGGATTACGATGAGACTATTACCAGCAATCGAAAACTCATTTCTCCAATCATTAGTGTTTGTATTTACCAGTTATTTAAATAAATTAATAAAAAATAATTTGAGATAGTATTTCCCGGGTTTTTGTTCGGGTATTTACTAATTTCACTCACTATCAAAATACACATTTCCTATAATTAGTTAGTAAAAACATTTTATATATCTTTATTTTCGATACGATATAACCTAGTATTAGGTTTTTTTTTGTATTAACGATTTTCAATTATTTTATTTGTTATACTTTTTTTAATTTAATTGCAACATATTTTTTTTCTAAATTTGTTTTTATGATTACCATATTTCTTGACAAACCTCAGGCCGCAATAGCCACATGTGTGTGCGCCGGGTTTATCCAAATTAATGTATACCTTAGGATGACCCAATGGACTATCTCCACCATCACCATCTCCACCAACACGTTCTGTGTGAGTGAAATCTCATCGACTAACTTAATACCTCAATTTTCTTTGACATAACGCTTGGCATTGCTGAAACGGGCATTGCGATAATCCTTTTCATCAAAGACTTGGCCAGTGTGAGTGACTTTTTTGCGGGAAGAATATGAACGCACTGGACTTGTGGCCAACGGTGCAATCAAATTGTTGCCTTTCTTGGATAAAATCGACAAATCGACACAACTTTGCGGCAGCCATTTAGACTTCAGACTGGCTTTTCACATTTTCAACCAGATTAACTATAATTTGTCATTTAGGGTTCTTAGTGAATAAAAAATAAGCTTACTAAAGTTCAGTTTAGATAGTTTGAAGATTTCACCACGTTTTCCTACAAAATTAGATAAAAACCAGTAAGGAAGGCTCAAAAGTCGGGCGGGGCCGACTATATGATACCCTACACCACTATGCATATTTAGTAGAACTCTCGTAAAAGAAAGGTTTATATTGCAATTTCTGAGCTCTAGACATATCTAGTACAGAATATCATTAGAGGTAGAGTGCATATTACGAAAGTTAGTGATTTAAAAACCAAATCGGATGAAACATATATATGGGAGCAAATTTGAAATTCTTCCTTCTATGCTAAACTCGGTTGAATATCGAAAATTCACTCCTTTTGGGCTAATATTAGCTATTTGGTGCACAATAAACCTGAAATCGAATAATGTTATGTATGGAGGCTATATCCAAATCTGAGCCGATCTTCATAAAATTGAAAACAGTCATTTCTTGTCTGCATCTGATATCTGGTACCAAATATTATTCTTGTATCGTGCACCATATTTGAAGAACTTATTTCTATACTAAGTTCGGTCTGAAGTGCACAATGAACCTAAAATCGGATGAAGATATATATGGTAGCTATATCTAAATCGGAACCGATCTTGATAAAATTTGAATCATGAATTGCTAAGCTGTATCTTATGTCTGGTGCAAAATATCAGTCTCGTGGAGTGCATATTACGAATGTGAGGGACTTAAACACCGTATCGGATGGAACATATATATGGGAGCTATACCGATTTTCACCAAATTTGAAGCACATGCTTGTAGGCTGAATTCGGTCAGATGTAGCAAAATTCACACCATTTGGACTGATATTAGCCTTTTGGTGCAGAAGAAACCTGAAATCGGATGAAGATATTTATGGGAGCTGTAGCTATATCTCAACCGATTTTCACCAAATTTGAAGCACATGCTTGTAGGCTGAATTCGGTCGAATGTAGCAAAATTCACACCATTTGAACTGATATTAGACATTTTGTGCACAAGAAACCTAAAATCACATGAAGATATATATATATATATATATATATATATATATATATATATATATATATATATATATATATATATATATATATATATATATATATATCTTCATGTGATTTTAGGTTATATATAAATCGACTCAAAATGTGATTCTATGCTGATCACCAAAAGGAACTTTGGGTCTATCTCGTTTTCTTCTCCATGTTACAAACAAATGCATAGGGTATAAATACAATCATAAAAATCGGCCGGGGTCGTTATATGGGTGATACATATATCCCATTTGCAATACTTTAACATATTTTTCACCTACCATTTATGTAGATACCCGAGTATTTACCAAAATATAAAGTACTTGCTGCCTTTTTTAATAGAGATACCTGTAATATTTTGAAGTCATTTTTTAAAGTAGATTTTGGAGTTCACCTGTTCCCTCTCGGAAACGTTCATCCCAACAAATTAGTTGGCTTACTGGGTATTACTAAATGTTTAGATATGTTACATATTGATGGTAATCATCCCCCCGTGTTTTGGTGATAGTAAAAAGTCATAGTCGTAATAAAACAATTTGAACACTCATGCTTACGTTTTTATATAGATTTTCAGGATCTTGAGGTGGTCAATTACTTTTGTCCGTTTGTATTTCTTCTTGTGATACATGAAGTCTGGCTATGCTCCTCATCTGATTCTCAATATCTTCTCTTTCCAAATTTTCAAGTGAAATTTTACATCTGGCCTTCTTTTAGTGATATTTTTATGATCGTCTCCACGCCTCTCTTCTCCACCTCCCTTTTCGTAGGGATCGCGTACTCATTACGAACCGCATCATTATGGGAATAGAGTTGGAAATTGAAAACTAGCTACAGAATCTACTTCATCAGCTAATTTATAAAAATAACTAGCTGAACCTGGTGCGCTTCGCTACCCCTTTTGATTTAACATGCATTCAAAATTTTATATACGAATATTTGTGGTTAAAAAAATAAAACAAATTCAAGAATTTGAACAAATTATTTATTATAATACTTTAATACGTAAACAAACAAATCGCACGGTCTACCCACGCGTGAACATGCCAGGAACAGCTGACTTTGAGAAAAGCAGGAACATGCCAAATTTAGTCCGCACACAGGAAAAGTTTGTCCTTCAGAATAATTAATTTCATAGCAAATGTCAAGCGTGCAGTAAACTTCAATCTTTTGAAGTTGAATGGCTTTTCTGGTCCTGTTAGAGATCGAATTCTCTATTAAATTGTTGTATAGTTTTTTACCGTTAGCCTAATACCATTGCAAATGCGTTGTGGGCCAGTGTTTCTCTATAAAAATATATCCCATCTGCACCTCAATATAATTTAAGAATGTATGAGAGCTATATCCAAACATTAGCGGATTTCAATATTATTTGAAACATTTGTTATTGTACCAAATTCCGTCTCTCATTAAGAATTTCATTGGAATCACACATGTATCGTGTTTGGAGCATTAAATATGTAAAATTGCCGAAAATATATATGGGAGCTATATCCACATCTGAACAGTTTTCAAAATAATGTGACAAAAATATTTTACGAAGCTGTTCTACCTCCATATTGTACCATGGATATGTGCATGGTAGAATCAAGGAGGTAAAGTCATGCAATCATATGTTTACATTTTTTTCAAAAATTATACATTTGACAACATCTCATCTGGCTAAGATTCTAATATTATTATTTTATTAAGGAACAAAGACCCACCACGCCATTGATATGATACTAGGCTAACAGCATAGCTCGTTATTGCGGAAATATGCATTTCTGTTGTCCCTAAATTTGAAATAATTTCAAATGATTTTTTTTATTCAAAGCGATACACACACATATACAAACTGTGTATATTTTCTGGCAGAATAGGGGCACCAAAATCATTACAATAAATACGTTTTTATGAAAAATTTTGCATGCATATAAAAAAGGATAAGGTGTAGCGAAGAGCATCAGTTTCAGCTAGTCTCTTTATATAGAAGAGTAGTAAAATAACTAACTAACTGAAACCCCAATTACAAAAATGCACATTTTTGAAATCAAAATAATTAATTCAAAATTAATTGTTTTATTTACATTTTTGGACATACAACTCTGACACTTGTATTACGTATAAAAACAAATTTACAACAAAAAATTGTTATACAACAACATTTGCTGTTACCTGTATTATTGTGCCATGGGTGCGTAGGCCCAATACTTAAAGTGTACGAAAAGTACTAAAGTGCAGGAAGAATTAGATGCTTTGTATTGGACAAACGGAACAGTTTAGATGTACCAAATGCGTTTGGAAATTCGAACTTTAAGATTATGAAAAGTTCTAAACTTATACTTAACTTCTAAAATGATACCATTTGGTATCAAGTAAACGGATAGAGCCAAAAACTTGGAAGTTCAATTGAGACTGAACGGATGAAGCTGAAATTTTTAAATTTTGTATTGGGACCCTGTTGGTGGTAAAGTTTTGATAATGTGGTGGTTTTGGAAATGTGTATTGCAAGGTACAATTAGGTATTAGATGAACAGATATATAGTGTTTGAAATCTTAAATTTGGTATTAGGGTCGGCTTAGATTACTGATGGTATTTGTGTTTGCAATATGACGGCGGTTTGGAAATGCGTCCTATATTTGTACGAAAAGTAGTAAAGTGGGTATTGGGTGGAAGGAAACGGTTGGAATCCTCAAATTTGATATTGAGGTCTCAGTTGGCATCTGGAATTGAGACATGTGGTAATGGAAATGTGTACTATAATTTTACGAAAAGTACTAAATAGTGCTAAATTTGGTGTTGGGTGAAGGAATAGAGCTGAATTCCCCAAATTTGCTATATGTTGTTGTTGTTGTAGCAGCTCATACATCCGTGTTCGTTCGGTTTCCATTTTCTGACTCAGTTCTATCAGGTTCTGCCTCTAAGTCCAGTCTCAAAAAGGATGCAACCTGTATGGGTTGTGTCCATAACGAGACTGGAGTTAGGTGAGTAGGCTTGGCTGGGCAGCAAAATAGGTGCAGCGTGTCATGTGGGTCTGTGCCACATGCTGGGCAGATGTTCTGCACGTCGCCGTTAATCCGGGCCCAGTAGGAATTTAGGCGGCTGCACCATCCGGATCGTAATTGAGCCAAGACTACTCGGGTTTGTCGGGGCAGCTCTCGTTCTTCAGCTGTGACGGGAGGGGGATGGTCTCCTAGCAC